GTTGATTAGAAAAGAGCCTGTAGAAGCTTGTAAAGTTTTGTACGTTTACTTCCTCCTTCCATCTATATAAGGCCTAATGCGTTTTTTAAGACCGCCTTTGACTATTGACAAGATTAATAGTAAATGACATGTACAATATGAAAATTATATCATTGAAAGCTTCTTTCACACACGAATTTAACGGTGTGCTTTGTGTAAGTTGCATGTCATATATTATTGCTCTAATATTTAGTCAAAGTTAACCTCAAAAAACGCATTAGGCCATATATAGATGGAAGGAGGGAGTACCATTTTTGCCCCTCCCCCCCCCTGATTTTCACTAGTGGACCTGCCTTCCTAATTAAATCTCTGCCAATCACAGCCCATCAGCCCCGTAAACTCCCTGTAACTTCCCGTACTTATAATTGCTCGTGCGAGGATCATATATAGAGCCCTCTTGTTCCGTCTACTACTCCAGTATGCAGTACATGCGCGCGACTCTCGCTCTTCCTCACATGGAGCACTTCACGCTCCCATACTACTACCACTTCGCCCTATTCCTCTTCCTTGCTATCCTCCTCCATGGCGTCCTACGCGCCACCGCCGAGCAGCCCCGCCCGAGGCTGCCTCCCGGCCCGTGGCAGCTTCCGGTCATCGGCAGCCTGCACCACCTGCTGCGCGGGCTCCCACACCGCACCATGCGCGACCTCTCCCTCGCCACGGCCCGCTCATGCTGCTCCGGGTGTGCGAGCGCGTGGCCATCGTCGTCTCCTCCGCCGAGGCCGCGAGGGCGATCTACAAGGGCAACGAGGCCGCCTTCTCGGAGCGGCTAAGCAGCCCGAGCATCGACGAGCTCTCCAGGCAGCATGGCCAGGGGATCGTCTTCGCGCCCTACGGCGACCACTGGCGCCTGCTCCGCCGGATCCTCATGACAGAGCTGCTCAGCGCGCGGCGCGTTGAGGCGTTCCGGCAGATCCGCGCGGAGGAGGCGGCTCGCCTAGTCTCGTCGCTTCACGCGACGTCCGATGGCCGGCTCGTGAACATGGACGAGCCCGAGCGGCTCGACGAGTTCATGACAGACTCGGCCGTGCGCGGCATCTTCGGGGACAGGCTGCCCGATAGAGCCGCGTTCCTGAAGATCGTCAAGCAAGGAGTGGGCCTGTCATCGCTCTTCGACCTCCGGGACCTCTTCCCATCGTCGCGGCTAGTTCGGCTTCTGCCGCGCAGCAGTAGGGCGGAGCGGCAGCGTCAAGAAATGTTCAGGCTCATGGACAACATCCTTAAGACCCACGAGGAGAGGAGGATGGGTAGAGATGGAGACGACGAACAGGACATGGTCGATGTGTTGTTGAGGATCCAGAAAGAAGGCAACATGCGAGTTTCCCTAACCGACGGAGTCATAAGGGCACTGCTCATAGTAAGCTCTATCGATCTTAAAACCAAAGTTTCAAATAACGGGCTATGATAAAGGGAAATTTTACGGTGCATTATAATACACCAGAGCACATGTATTATATGGTCGATCTAACGAATGAGAATAATTGGGCCTTTTTAAGCTCAAGGGTATTTTCGACCTAATTTTTTTAACCTTTAATCGGCCCAATTTGGTCCAGGGGTATTATCATCCTAAATTTTTTGATTAAATTAATTACATTAAGAAAGCACTTCATTATAGAGGTCTCATCATCGTGCGTACTCTTTTGAATTTCGGTTCGAGCGGTTCGTCCTCTCTCCTCCTCTCGAGCCCTAACCTCGGGCGCCCTCGATCGCCGCTGATCGCCTCCGGCACCCTCGATCGCCGCCGATCGCCTCCGGCGCCCTCGATCGCCGCCGATCGCCCCCGACGCCCTCGATTGCCGCCGATCGCACTCGCCGTGTCTACCCCTCCTGCTCCTACTCCCCCTCACTCCCTCCATCGCAAGTCACCCCAGTCGGGTCGCGGCGCCAGATCCTTCCCCAAGAGGACGCCACCTTCCCTGACCCGAGAGGCCACATCATCCTCATCGACGTGCATCAACTTTTTCACACCGGATCTTCGCTGTAAGTGCCTAGCCATCTCAAATCTTTTCTGGTCCCTTCTGCATATGGAACCAATAGGGGTCGGATTTGATTCGGGTTTAGGATATGTCATGTGAGGTTTAGGGTTTATCATTTCAGAAAGTTGTGAGGAGATTTCGGTCGGATTTGGTTAGGGTTTAGGATATGTCATCTGAGGATTAGGGTTTATCTTCTCATAAAGTTGTGATGAGATTACGATTGAAAGGAAGTGTAAGTCGGATGTAGCTACGACATATTGAAGGACTTAGTTAGGATTATGTGGCATGAGAAAGTTGTCAGCAGATTTGGATTCAAAGAAAGTTATTTTGGATTTACTTAGAAGATACTTTTGAATTGAGTTTCGAGATATTTTGGATTTAGTTAGGAGATAATTATTTTGTATGGAGTTTGGACTTATTTTGGATTTAGTTAGGAGATAATTTGGATTTAGTTAGGACATACTTTTGGATTTTGTTACGAGATAATTAGGATTTAGTTAGGATATAATTTTGAATGGAGTTTGGAGATAATTGATCTATCAGGGTGGATCTATCAAGGCATTTGAAGGACTAGTGGACTTTGGATTTAGTTAGGAGATCATCAGTTAGAGCTAGTACAATCAATTATAAATTTCTGGATTTAGTCAGGGCATATTTACTTACAGCTTTTGAAGGACTGAGTTAGGTGCATGAATCCGTTATGAAAAATTAAATCAATTATTTAAGCAGAGTAGTGCATAATTTCGGTAACGTATGCTATCCATCCGTAACATTGACTATCTGTTTCCGCTGGCAGCATAACGACATAGATGATAAAGGCAACGATGGCAAAAACTTGGGTGATACAGACAAGGACGGCAAGGACATGGGTCATAGAGGCAACAAAGGCAAAGGCATAGACCCCAAAGGAATGGATGGTATGTGCATGGATGATAAGGATAATGAGGATGCAGGCAAGGATGACATAGACATGGATGATGTACACATACAAGATAAAGGAATTGATAATAAAGGCATGGCTGGTTCAGACCTGAATGAGTGTATGGAATACTTAGAGATTGTGAAGAAGATGTTCAGGACTGAGGAAGAAGCCTACATGTTCTACGTAGGCTATGCGAGAAAAAAAGGATTTGGTGTTAGAAAGGATGATCTGAAGTACAGGGGTCCGGGTCCGAAACAAAATGCATACATAAGGACATACAAGTGCTGCAAACAAGGATGGCGGGCCCTTAATAGAACTGAAAGAAAAAGAACACCGAGGGGTCTTTCTCGGTGTGGGTGTCCCACTCTTTTTCAGGTTGAGCTACAAGATAGCAGTGGCCTCTGGTTCGTCAAGAATTTTGTGGACAAGCATAACCATCTGTTTGTCCCTGCTGACCTGACTCCGTACTTGTTGGCTCATCGTAGAATGACTGACGCACAAAAGGCCGATGTCATCGAGTATGCTGTCGGTGGACAAGCATAACCATCTGTTTGTCCCTGCTGACCTGACTCCGTACTTGTTGGCTCATCGTAGAATGACTGACGCACAAAAGGCCGATGTCATCGAGTATGCTGTCGGTGGACTTCAAACACATCAGATTATGAATGTAATGGAGAAGAATGCCGGAGGTCCCGACAAGCTTGGATTTATAGATCGAGATCTATACAACCATGTTTCAGTCTAGAAGAAGCGCAAGATAGAAGGCAGTGACGCTAGATATTTGCTCACCTATATGATTGCACAGAAAAAAGCAGACCCGAAATTCTTTTTCAAATACACAAAAGACAGCGACGACCATTTGAGGAACATATTCTGGGATGACTCACAATCCCGCATTGACTATGTTGCCTTTGGTGGTGTCGTGGTGTTCGACAGTACATATCGTCTAACAAGTACAGACTTCCGTTTGTTCCATTTGTTGGCCTGAACCATCACCGCATCACAGTTTTGTTTGGAGTCGGTCTAGTGTCAGACGAGACAGTTGCATCATACCAGTGGCTTCTTCATGTATTTTTGGAGGCAATGTCCCAGACGGCACCAATTTCAGCAATCACCGATGGGGACGGTGCAATGGCTAAAGTAATAGCTACTGTCTAGACCGAAACAGATCATCGTTTGTGCACGTGGCATATCGAGGAGAATATGGTGATGCATCTCCGCGAGGAAAAGCTGGAGCAATTTAGGGAATTCATTTACTGTCGTTGGGATGTTGATGAGTTTGAGAAAAGATGGGAGGCTTATAAGGTTCGGTTCAAAATAAAACTAACGGGCAAGAGGTCGTCATGGGTTAACAGGATGTACGAGCTGGGACACAAATGTGCTGCTGCATACACAAAGGGTAGATATTTCCTAGGCATGATGAGTAATCAGAGGAGTGAGTCTCTCAACTCAAGGCTTGATGTGCACCTGAACATGAAGATGCAGCTTGTTGATTTGTTGCAGCATGTTGAGCACTGTGTATCCATAATGCGTAAGACTGAAGCAACATTAGACGCAGTAGCAACACATACGATACGCTTCACTAAGCTGAGTGCACACCCTCTGGAGATTGCTGCCTCTTATATTTATACAACCGTGATGTTTCCAAAGGTAAAGCGTCAGATTGTCGAAGGGACAAATTGGCAGGTCACGGACCGGGTAGCATGTGATGGTTTGGTAGTGTTTGGAGTTTTGCGCAAAGCCCCATATGATAATGTCCCATATGGTAGGGATGCTAGAGAATTGCAAGGTAAGGAAGGTAAGTATGCTGAGGACTTGCATGCAAAAAAATTGGATGCTGAGGATCCCAGTGACTTGAAAGGTAAGGATGCTGAGGACTTGCATGCAAAAAACTTGGATGCTGAGGATCCCAATGACTTGGAAGGTAAGGATGCTGAGGACTTGCATGCAAAAAACTTGGATGCTGAGGATCCCAATGACTTGGAAGGCAAGGATGGTGTGGACTTGCATGCCAAAAACCTGGATGCTAAGGATCCCAATCACTTGGAAGGTAAGGACAGTGAGGAGTTGGAGGCAAAAAAGTTGGATGCACAAGGCATGGATGCTAAGCCTTTGAATTTTATATATCACGTGACTTGTCTGTTTACAGGAGCAAGACTGGATGATGCAGCTTGTAAATGTAAAAAGTTGGAAAGTCAGGATTACCCATGCGCACATATATTCTGCGTTCTGGATCATCTTGGTGTATGCACATTTCCAAAAAATTTGTCAAGAAAAGATGGACAATGTAGGCCAAGCCAGCGTTCCCTTCTTCGAGGACTGCGAATACTCATGTATGGCCTGATCACATGAATAAGTATCATCAACTACGCAACATGGCTAGTGACGCTTTATTCACAGCCGCAGCTAGCGATTCACAGTCAGAACAGGTGATGGAGTTCCTCCGGAGTATATTGGTTGATGGAGAAAAACTGATTTTGATGAAGGCCATAAATTGTTTGTTCCTTTGCCGGCATACTTCTCTGCTACTCGCGAATGCTGCACTGATGACGTGGAAAATCCAATCAAAATAGTTCTAAAAGGGAGACCAACTACCGAAGAATCGAACAAGACAATTAAATCTAGGCGCGAGCGGATGAGAGGGAAAAAAGCAACGAAGTTAGTGTACATGCTTATCTCATTGTTCATTTCCATACATGCTTGCAATGTTAATATGTTCTCTCTTTTTCTTCAATTTACTCAGGAACAAATCGGGGAAATCAAAGGTCACAAGGAGGAAGAAGCGAAAAGACAAAGACTCGGAGACAAAAGAAGACACAAATTCAAATATAGAAGAAGAGGAAGATTCAAAAAAAGCAACAAAGTTAGTGCACATGTTTATCTCATTGTTCATTTCCATACATGCTTACAGTGTTAATATGTTCTCCCGGAGAGTGTTCACATGTTTTTCTTCAATTTACGCAGGAAAAAAATCGGGGAAATCAAATAGCACAAGGAGGAAGAAGCAAAAAGAAGAGACAGAGTCAGATACAGAAGAAGAGACAGAGGCAGATACAGAAGAAGAGACAGAGGCAGATACAGAAGAAGAGACAGAGGCAGATACAAAAGAAGAGGAAGATTCAGGTACAGAAGAAGAGGAAGATTCAGGTACAGAAGAAGAGGAAGATTCAGATGCAGAAGAAGAGGGAGATTCAGATGCAGAAGAAGAGGATGCAGAAGAAGAGGGAGATTCAGATGAGGAAGAAGAGGAAGATTCAGATGCAGAAGATGGTCGGCTGAGGAGGGCTAGAAAGAGACCATTGGAGGTTGCAGAAGAGGATTACGCAAAACCAAACAAGTGGGCATTAGCACAATTGTGTGTACTTAAACATGTTTTCGAATGCTGGCTGCAGATTCATCTATTTCATTTTTTGTGGGAAACACAAGGGCGCTCCAAATGTCAATGCTGGGAGGATGAAAAAGAACGATGACAAGGGTGCGCGAGAAAAACAGTGAAGTTAGTGTCTG